CGGCACCTGCCCCGCGCTGCGGGCCCTCGGTGGGCCCAGACGGGCCGGGGCCAGGCCGCCCCCGCCGCCCAGCTCGTCGGTCAGAGGAAGGCAGAGGGAGGAAAGAAATCCGCACGCCCCTCGGGGCAGCTTCTGGCCTGTCCCCCGAAGGGCAGCGTCTCCTCCACCCTTCACGCTGGTGACCCCGGGCCAGCGGACGGGGCCCTAGGCGGCCCTGGGTCAGGTTTCCCAGGCGTGTGCCCGCCCTCGGCCAGACCTTCCCGTGGAACCGCTGAGCCGCTGGGAGCCGCCCCTCGCGCGCGCAAGGCCCCTTCTCTCCGCCCGCCGCGGCCTTCAAGGCCCCCGTGCGTGGCCGTTGGCTTTGCTTGCTCGCTTCGCGCTCTCCCGAACTTCATTAATCTGGTGACAAGCAAAGTATTATCTTCCATGGACATTTTTTATTGATTAACTCCAAGCGCCACTAACCTCTCTCACTTAAGAAAAGACGAGAAATCAAAGAGACAATCATTTCATGAAGGAGCATTTCCAAATTGAAATATAACGATTACGTTAAGCTTTTTAAGATTCCCAAGTACAGTGACTTGATGTCTTACAGTAAAATGGGTGTTTTAAAACTCAGTTACTTGATGGATTTGCTGCTTTGTAAAAGTATCCTAAAAAGCAAGTTAATCCGCTTACCAATATTAAAATAATACAGTGGAGTGAAATAGATGTATTTTTAAAATAAGTGACTTAATACAGCAAACCAGCCTGTGCAGTTAGACACTAATTTGTGAATATGTTACCCTTTGTCTGTTTTGTTAGTTGGGTGCTTTCCTCCAGGGAATAGTGATGTTCCATAGCAACAAAGTCAACATATGTGGTCATGTTGTTTAATTAAAATTAGGACCTGCCAAAAAAACAAGAGCAAGCCCTTAAAACAAACTGTACAGTAATCTCTGATGCTGAAGGTTTCTGTTATCTGACCTACAGGGGGGAAAAAGGCATAAAGGCAATGAGATAGAAGACAGAGCAAAGAGAAATGCTAGGTGGAGATGAAAGGAAGCACAATCCAAAAACATCTGCTTTCAATCTGCCATGAACTCAAAGCACCTTTAGCAGCCTTTTGAGACAGGGAGGGCTCACTGGGGATGACACTCCTAAGCCTGTTAGAGGAGATCCCAGGTGTTCTTCAGGCCAGTCTCCCAGCTCTCCCCAGGACAGCATCCCTTTCAGGTAGGCAGACATCCAGCCTCTGCTGTGAATTGCTCTGTGGTAGAATTTACAAGGCTGACAAGTCTTTTGTTGAGCAGTTTTAATCATTTTTTAAAAAATATACTGCGCTGAGGCTGATCTCCATGTAATGACCCACCCCAGATTACACATTCCTATCTAGTAGCAACCTGTATATCGAAGTCTTCCGGACGGAGAAGGCGGCGGATACGGCCCAGTAGCATACAGCTCCCCTCCTTACAGTTCTGACTGCTCAGCCCACACTCTTTCCCTCTCTACCTCCTGTACTTTCCACAAGGTAGACCATGACCTGCTTTTCTCTGTCTATTAGGACAACTGAACAAGGGCATATTTGTCTCAGTGCCCTGGGTATTTGAAACAAGGCCACCAAAGTCCTGTCCATAGTTACCACTTGGCTTGTTCGGACTTGTCTGCGCAGGCCCCTGGAAGCTAGAGAAGGGATGTGCTTCCACACAGCCATTTGATTTCCTCCTTGGGGCCGCCCTGATTTCTCAGCTGGTTAGAAGCTCTTCATCAGATGTGTTCCTGGATTGAAAAACACAATAATGTTGCAATAGACCTTCCTCACACACACAGAAGGGTGCACACAAAAGCCTGCAGGTGATATAACAAAATTCTGGTCCTCATTTACATTTTTTATTAACATTAGAATTAAAGAGATTTCAGTAACATAAATATAATTTTTTTAGGTAATGCTTTTGTGAACCACAACTTTAAATATTCAGCCAACTGCTTCTATCAACAAGAGCATCCTGTTAATTTTTGTATTTTTTCAAGATGAGTAAATTAATTCCCAAGCGCTCTATTCAATCTCCTGTCTATCATGCCAAGTTAAAGGTCCAGTCCACAGAATCACCTTTTAAGAAAGAAGACTTACATCTGATTTCAAAAGACTCCCTGGAAGCTGATTCAGAGAGCCTCACTCAAGAGGCTAAGTCCCAGTCTGACTTTGAAGACCCGCTGCAGGGCAGTATGGAGCCTGACAGCTTAGAGGAGAGCTCTCCGCAGGACAGCCTGAGCGAGACGGAGGAGGAAGCAAGCCGGAGAGCAGCTCGGGCGGCCGGCAAGGACAGCCGCCGTGCCCGGCACAGTGGTGCCGTCAACCGGTAAGCAGCTGGCTTATGTCAGACAGCAGTGCTTTCTGAAATGTATTGTTAAATAATCACTGGGGCCCCAAGTGAGGGCGAGGACAGGCTCTCACGGTGAGCACTCTGCAGTGTGAGAGATGGGGGCCAGGCTTTGGGCCACATTCTTTTTTATTATTAAAAAATATGCGAAAGACAAGGAGCCCTGTCCGGGTAGCACAGTTGGTTAGGGCGTAGTCCCAATATGCCAGGTTGCAGATTCGATCCCCAATCAGGGCACTTATAAGACGCAACCAATGAATGCATTAATAAATGGACCAACCAACCGATCTCTCTCCCAAAAAATTTTTTAAAAATCTGTGCAAAAGACAAGGAGAGGTTTTAATAAAGGCATTTGCTTTTCTTATGCTCCTTATTTCCTGTCCATATTCCAAGTGTCTCCACTATGACCTCACCTTGGAGAAATCCAGAAAGGCTGGTATAGAAAAGTGCCATAACGTGGAGTCAGGCGGTCTAGATTCGGTCCAGGCACTGCTGTTTAGTGTATAATTTGCATCTCACTTTTTCTCACCTGTTAAATAAACCAGCCTCCCTAGCTCCCAGGATTGCTATAAATGTCAGTAAAGCACATCCAGGGGGTATATACCTCCCAGGACCCCTATAATCATATAAAGATTCAATTTCTAATAATCAGTATTGATGGAGCACTAACTTCATGCTCTGCGTTACCAAAAACTGTAAGAAAAAATAAAATCATGCAACATTACTCCGTTTTAATGAAAATGTAAGTGATATGATAGAGTGTAGAAGGTCAAAGGTATTGATTAGGAGGAGGTTTAGTGTGGCGGGGCCGTGCATAGAGTCAAACAGACCATTGTTCACAATCCCCTTACTAGCACATAATCTCTCTGTGCCTCAGTTTCCTCATCAGTAACAGTGGGATAATAATAACGGTTACCTTACAGAGTTATCATGACACTAAATAAATTAATATATATGTGTAATAAAATGCATAAAGTACTGAGAACAGGGACTGGCTGTTTATATATGTGTTAGATTTTTTAAAATTAGGGGTAAAATATATTGAGGAAAGTTTATTGGAAGTCCTAGAGCTTGGGCAGGTAGGGTTTTGGAGACAAGGTAGATTTGGAAAAAGGGAACAGAATTATAGTGACGTGTGTGGCATGATAAGGGACCCTGCTTGATTGCAGAGGATCTTTCCTTGGTCCAGGGAAAGTGGACTGAGCAGGGGCCTGACTTGGGGGCCATCGTGGAGTGAAAACAGCTCATGCGAACGACAGGGCCCCGAACACAAAACTCAAATGACATGTCCAGGAACACAGTCACAGCAAGGGCTCTTTTGAAAGACAGAATTTGAGCCTGGTCCTGAGTCTTTTTCTTCCTTCTTTCCATCCTTCTGCCTTTCACTGGGAATATCAAGTTGAATCATGCTCATATGCTTTTTAATGTTTCCCAAAGTACAGTACAAGTGATATATGCTGTCACTAAGGTGCAGCCACAGTGCTAAGGGCAAAAGAAGGGTTCAGGAAGGCTTCAGCCAGCCAGCCCCATCTGAGGGGTTGGTGGCTCTGCCAGGGGGAGAGGGCGCAGGGTCTTGGGGAGTGGTGAGATAACACAGCGTTTCAGGAGCATTGCTCTGCAAGCTGGCACATGCTGAATTAGAAGATAAACACACGAGGGACAAAGAGACCACCAGATGGTAAAATCCAACAAGAAAGGCAACCATAACAGTAACAGTATCTCTCTTGATAGGCCCATCTGTAATTTCTCCATTGTGATCCTGCGTTCATATCCCCATTTTTACAGATAAGGAAAATGAAGCTAACAGAGATGGAGTAGCTTGTCTAACATCAAGTTGCTGTGAAGGGGATATTTGTTTTTTGCTATTGATACTGGTTATTTTTTAAATTTTGACAAAATTCTAACCTATAGAACAGTACCGAGAAAAATGCCTATAACCCTATTACTGTATTGTTTCAGATGTATTTTTTAAAGACATAAAAAGTTACAGAGAAAGTTTTCTTGTTCGGCTTCTCAAATCCATCGCCCAGTTTTCCTCCTCAGAGAGAGCCAATACATGTTGTTCTTAGCAGTCTTCTATTTTTTTCTGTCATGGGTAATTTATAGGTAGTGGAGAAATATGTACATAAAATGGAAGAATTGACAGGGCTCCGTGACAGATTAGACGTGACGACTGAAGGAACAAGAGGAGCCCGATTACTCCGACATTCTCATAACAGCAGCTAACGGTTAGAGTGCTCATTACGAGCCCCTCCTGTGCTCAGCACTTGGCGTGTTACCTCACTTAACCCTGTGGCAGCTCTGGTAGGTGGACACTATAATGATCCCAGTGTACATGAGGCTTAAATGTTACATTTTACCCATTTCTTACCTCTAGTGAGTGTCCGACCCTGAGCTCTAAGCCATGTTTTTCTTTATTTCATTTTCCCATCACCATTTATCCCCTCTGTGCCCTCTCCCACCTCCCAGGCCGTGCTTTCCTTATAGCTCGAATCTAAGGGAGTCATGGTCTCCCACGTGATCAATGGTAGTGGTTTCATTTACAGAAATGGGGGCATCAGAAAGGAAAGATCTCTCGCACAGAGAGGTAAACTCGTCTGTACTTTCAAGGTGAGGAAGCCAAGGGAAGGATCCATTAGGGGACCTCACTTGCCCAGGGTTGTTTTTTTCTTCTTGGAGTCAATGCTCAGGGACCCAACTTTAACCTTGCTCTTTACCCAAGGACAATGTAAATACCACTCAGTATGTTTCAAAAGCAAGAATAATACTTACAAAAATTAAAATTATGGTTAGGGCCTTGGTCTTCTGATTCAGAGACCCTTAAATAATACTATTTTCCTTAGATTGATTTGCCTTAGAGATGTTTAATTATAGATGATAATCCCAGAGTTAGAATGGGTTATACTTTGAACATTAGGAGGACAGTTCTCCACTACAAAGGGAAACAGAATTAAAGCATTTAGCCAAATAATGCCTCAAAAATATTATTCATGTGAGTGTTTAGTTAGATAACTAAACACTTGCCTCACTCAAGTCTTGGGAAGCTGTTGTTGCAAAAATCTGGGAGTTTATGAGCTGTGAAGTAGACAAATTGATATCAGACTCTCAATATAAAATTCAAGTATGCTTTCATTTTGTACTGGAGGTGGCATTCTGGGAGTGGTAGTTTAAATTAGTCAAAATCTTGCCTTAAAACCAAGGAGCTTCTTTTTCTTCTTGCTTTTATAAACAACCTTTTTAAAAGCTGCCTGACAGATCACTTGAGCCCCATCGTGTGTTTTGATGTTACTAGGACCTCCTCAAAGCAATTACTTCTTGTATCTCACCAAAGTCAGGCCGCAGTTCAGTGTAAATGGATTAGAGAAAACACTTTTCTTAATGGAAATTGGAGCTGCATTGACTGCGGCGAATGAATCAAGAGTGGGGAGAGGGTCTTCTCCCGGTAACCCTTAAGCCCCGCTCCAGAACCCGTCTCACGGCCCCCGGCGCTTGTGGAGAAAGAGATCAGTGTAATTCCTAAAGCGTTAGAAAGAACCTGCTTAGTCCTGCGGTCTTCTGAAACCTTACGTGTTTAAAAAACATCAGAGAGCAGCAGTACAGTACTCAGTATATGTGCTTATATATGTGTATAGTCTTGTTTACAAGAATACTTCGGTATAATTAGCTACCATTTGTAGAGCTATTTGCTTTATACGTACTATCTCATTTACCCTAGAGGAGCCTCTTAGGTGTTATGATCCCCATTTTGCAGATAAGGAACTGAGGGTTCGAGAGTTGTGTAAGTGCCCATAGCTACCAAGTGGCAGAGCCTGAGCCTCTAATTATAAATATCTACATAGGTGATCAAAGGCTGATCTGATAAAAGATTCAATTTTACTATCTAACAAATATTAAAGATATAACAATTTTAATGTGGACTAAACTGAGACCAGAGTACAGATGCATGTGAAATTATAAATTTCATTAAAGTCATACAAATATTTAAAGGATTCAGTGCCCTCAGAATAAATGAACATTACCTGTATTTTATGTAGGGCAGCAGGGTCATGGTACCTATATTCGTCACACCTCTCCTGGGAAACAGAAACACTTCCGTTCACTGAGGCCCGCGAGTGGCTTACTGGTATCGCCTGGGGACTGTAGCCTTCACAGAAGACCCCACATTCTGTCTAATAAACACCTTGTGCCAGAAGTCACTGGGCTGGAGATAGGCACCATGAGGAGTTATAAATTAGACTGAATACCCAGAATTATCGGAAAGTAAGAAAGGGACTCAATAATAATAACTGCATTCTTATTGTCTTGTGGTGGTATATAATTTTTTCTCTCAAATGCTTCTGTATATATTGTTTCAGATTAGTAATACAAGAATCAGCCCGGCTGGCGTGGCTCAGAGGTTGAGCATTGACCTGTGATCCAGGAGATTGTGGTTTGATTCCCAGTCAGGGCACATGCCCAGGTTGCGGGCTTGATCCCCAGTTCGGGACGTGCAGGAGGCAGCCGATCCATGACTCTCTCATCATTGATGTTTCTATCTCTCTCTTCCTCTCCCTTCTTCTCTCTGAAATCAATAAAGATATATATATTTTAAAAATAAGTAATACAAGAATTAGGTGAAGTACTGAATGATGATTTCTAGGTCTTATATAATAGTCCTAGACAACCAAAATGGATAGTGGGTAAGAACCAAAACCCAGCATTTAAAAAAATATTTTTAGTGATTTCAAAGAGAGGAAGGGAGAGGGGGAGAGAGTGAAACATCAATGATGATTCATGGATTGGCTGCCCCCTGCACGCGCCCTGCTGGGGATCGAGCCCAAAACCTGGCATGTGCCCTGACCCAGAATTGAACTGCGATCTCTTGGATCATACGTCGATGCTCAACCGCTGAAAACTCAGCATTTTTATTACCTCTCAGATACCCTGGACTGTATTGTACAGCACATTGGAATATTGAAGCTGGGGATAGATTACTTTCT